ATGTTCAGAAAAAGCAGTGAAACTGACTGCAAGTGATGTGCTGTCAAATACACAGTAACAAATAAAAATAGAAGAATATCTGTGTTAATATTTGTTGATGATATCCATTAAATCAACACACCTGAATGTTGTTTTTTTCTCCTATATTAAAAGTAGCCTTTCAAAATAATGGTATCTAATTTGAAGTAACCTACCAACCCCTGTCCCCCACAAAAAAACCCCTTCCATGAATATAAGAGTAACCTTTCATGAATATATGAGTAATGGTATCTGGCTGAGACAGCCTTAGGAGTTTCCCCTTGTTGAAATGCACTGCATTGAGAAACAATGATGATAAAACTATGGATTGCATCCGTGATTCTGTCCCATGTGCTTTCCTCCATACTTTTTAGCAAAGTTAACAGCTGCAGATCAAGTATTAGCTGAAGGTTAAGAAAAGAACATGCTGTACAAAAACCAGTTAATATTAACTGGAGAATATCATATATTTAAGCATTTGCCAAATCCCAACAGCATTTGCAGTGTTTAAAAGTTTGGCTCTTGCATAGGTAATGCATGAGTTTGCAAACATAAGGATACTGAATTGGGTAGATAGGGCTGTGGCTGAGACTTAGGCAAATACTTATTTATGTTGGAGAACTCAAAATGTCAAGGCCAAAAAGTTACATGGGGCTAGATTTGTTATTTAATTAAACTATTAACTCCTGCTGGTGCACAGACACATTATCAACAGAACTGTAAGACAGAAGAATACAGTTCTACTTACTGTTACTTTTAAATTCTTTAAATAAAAACAATGGACCAGATTCTTTGTGGTCTAACTTCTGTTAAAGTCAGTGGAATTAATGTAATAAAGGATTTGGCCCGAACACAGCTCCAAGGTAAGCACTGAAAGTCTGGGTAAAATGTCCTTTCTCTATAACTTATAAAAACGTTTGCATTTTTTCATTTGAGATCTTCAGATTTTTTTCAAATCTCCCATATCCTTCTTGTAGTATTTTGATAATAGTATAGTTTGTTCATCTACTTGCAGGTAACAACTAATATACTAGTGACAAAAAATAGCTTTTTAATGTATGGTTTGGCCATCGTCTCTCAAACTCATCTGCACGTTCTCAACTTCGTGCTTGCAAGTAATCTTATTGGGTGTGTCCAGGTGAGCGTGGATGTTCAGCATGCAGCGCTGCACACCCATCTGTGCCACACATGCAAGTGTTCCTCGCACTGGTAATTTGTAGTGTGAGGGGTTTTTTGACCCTGGAAGATCCTGGGGTCAAAAAAACCTGCACCTGAAAAAGCGGGGCAGTGCATGTGGAGGTAGCGTATGCCATCTAAAACTGACGCCTGGCCAGCTGGAGCCAAACTCCAACTCCAGCCAGGTCCCTTGCTACAGGATCACTGCAGCTGCAGCTTTGGGAGGCCCCCAGGACCCCAGGTAAGGCTGCTGGGGCCAGCAGCTGTGCTGGCCCCAGCTTCCCCTACCCCACTCGGGGTAACGTGCTGCACACCAGAGCGTGCGTGGCATGAGTGTATCCTGGGGATAAGCAGCAGCAGCACATATTGTGCTGCTGCTCTTTGTGCCTGGGGAAACATGTTCCTGCTCCTGGGGATATGCCAATTGAGTTCAATGGGACTTATGTTAAGTAAAACCATATGAGTATTTTGTCAGATCAAGACCCTTATTAGAATGAACCAAACTGAATGGAATATTTACCTACATTAAACATTTATACCTTTTTAAGATTATCATGTAAGTTAAGATTCAAACCATATTAATAAAAAAATGTAAAATCATATTATAGGTTTCTAACCATTGTGGGTACATACTTAGCATTTCCATTTGTAACTAGCACTTGTCAGTCCACATATTCTTCTTGTTTTATAATCTTTAATGACGTTCGTCCAAAATCTGAACACAGTTTTTAAAAGAATGACCCTTCCTGGTGCAAGTGCTGAAGCAACCAACTACAGGCCATGCTCTTCTTGACCTGCTGCTCACAAACAGGAAAGAATTGGTGGGGAATGTAGTAGTGGATGGCAACCTGGGCAGCTGTGACCACAAGGTGATTGAGTTCAGGATCCTGAGGAAAGGAAAGATGGAAAGCAGCAGAGTAAGGACCCTGGACTTTAGAAAAACAGACTTCGACTCGCTCGTGGAACTCATGGGCAGTATCTCCTGGGAAGCCAGACTGAGGGGGAGAGGAGTCCAGGAGAACTGACTGTACTTCAAAGAAGCCTTACTGAGAATGCAGGTACAAACCATCCCGATGTGCAGGAAGACTAGCAAGTATGGCAGAAGACCAGTTTGGCTTAGCAGGGAACTCTTCAGTAAACTAAATCACAAAAGGGAAGTTTATAAGAAGTGGAAACGTGGAGAAATAACTAGGGAAGAATATAAGAGCGTTGCTCGGACATGCAGGGATTAAGTCAGGAAGGCCAAAGCACAATTGGAATTGCAGCTAGCAAGGGCTGTGAAGGGTAACAAGAAGGGTTTCTACAAGTATGTCAGTGGCAAGAGGAGGATCAGGGAAAGTGTGGGTCCCTTACTGAATGGGGGAGGCAACCTTGTGACGGAGGATGCAGAAAAGGCTGAAGTACTCAATGCCTTTCTTGCCTCAGTCTTTACAGGGAAGGCCAGCTCCCAGACTACTGCACAAGGCAGCACAGTTTGGGAAGGAGGTGAGCATCCCTCAGTGGTGAAAGGACAGGTTAGGGACTACTTAGAAAAGCTGGACATGTACAAGTCCATGGGGCCAGATGGGATGCACCTGTGGGTGCTTAAGGAGTTGACTGATGTGATTGCAGAGCCATTGAACATTATCTTTGAAAACTCATGGCAATCAGGAGAGATCTCAGATGATTGGAAAAGGATGATTAGAAAAATAGTGCCCATATTTAAGAAAGGGAAAAAGGAGGATCCAGGGAACTTCAGACTAGTCAGCCTCACCTCAGTCCCTGGAAAAACCATGGAGCAGATCCTCAAGGAATCCATTTCTAAGCACTTGGAGGAGAAAAAAGTCATTGGGGACAGTCAGCATGGATTCACCAGGGGCAAGTCATGCCTGACCAACCTGACTGCCTTTTATGACGAGGTGACTGGCTCTGTGGATGCAGGGGTCCAGTGGATGTGGTGTACCTTGATTTTAGACAGACTTTTGATAAAGCCTTTCTCACAGGCAAGCTAAGGAAGTATGAATGGGCTGGATGAATGAACTGTAAGGTGGGTAAACTGGCTGGAGCACTGGGCTCAGTGTAGTAATCAATGGCTCAATGTCTAGTTGGTAGCTGGTATCACATGGAGTGTCCCAGGGGTCAGTCCTGTGGCTGGTTTTGTTCAATGTCTTCATCAACAACCTGGAAGATGGCATAGAGTGCACCCGCAGCAAGTTTGCAGATGACACCAAGCTGGGGAAAGTAGTAGATATGCTGGAGGATAGAGCTAGGATTCAGAGTGACTTAAACAAATTGGAGGATTAGGCCAAAAGAAATCTCATGAGGTTCAAGAAGGATAAGTGCAAAGTCCTGCATTTGGGATGGAACAGTCCCATGCACCAGTACAGGCTGGGGGCTGACTGGCTGGGCAGCAGCTCTACAGAAAAGGACCTGCAGGTTACAGTGGACACTAAGCTAAATATGAGCCAGCAGTGTGCCCTTGTTGCCAAGAAGGCTAATGGGATACTGGGCTGCATTGGTAGATGTGTTGCCAGTAGGTCAAGGGAAGTGATTACTCCCCTCTATTCAGCACTGCTGAGGCCACTTCTGGAGTACTGTGTTCAGTTTTGGGCCTCCCACTACAGAAAGGATGTGGACAAATTGGAGAGAGTCCAACTGAGGGTAACAAAAATGGTGAGGGGGCTGGGGGACATGATTTATGAGGAAAGATTGAGGGAACTGGGCTTATTTAGTCTAGAGAAAAGGAGACTGAGAGGGGACTTAATAGCAGCCTTCAAGTACCTGAAGTGGGGTTTGAAAGAGGATGGAGCTGGACTGTTCTCAGTGGTGGCAGATAACAGGACAAGGAGCAGCAGTCTCAACTTGCAGCAAGGGAAGTTTAGGTTGGATATTAGGAAGAATTTTCTCATTAGGAGGGTAGTAAAACACTGGAACAGGTTATCTAGAGAGGTGGTGGAAGCTCCATCCTTGGAGGTTTTTAAAACCTGGCTAGACAAAGCTTTGGCTGGGATGATCTGGTTAGGGATGATCCTGCTTTGAGCAGGAGTTTGGACTAGATGACCTCCTGAGGTCCCTTCTGACCCTAACTTTCTATGATTTTATGATTTAGTGCCAGTGTGGTTTGAGTGAATAAATAAGAGTCACAGTGAAGTACCAGTATAATGGCTTGCCCAAAATTACATGAGATTGGAAGATAAGCAAGGAAATAACCTTGGAGCTAAGCTTTCTAGTTTCTGTTGTTAAATAGTAGCTTTAGCACACCTGCTGATCCTGATGGTACAAAACATGTGTACATGTAGATTTGATAAAAAGTTCATAAATCAATAATGTGAAAGAAACTACCACTAGGTATGAACTGAAGATTAAGTGGATGTATACGCAAGTGCATTTTCAAAATCTAAAAAAAAATTAGAAAAGGGCGAAGGGGGAAATAATATTTTCCGACAAATAGTATTTACCTTTTCTGAGAATACCATTACTATTGAATTAAAATTTCTAAATGTCAATTGTCTAAAAGTCAATTGTCTAAAAGTTTTCAAATGAATAATATATGAAAATCAATTGTTGGTACCTAAAAGCTATTTAATAATTGTTCAATAATGCATCTGTTATTCAGTTCTCATGTTATCAAGAAAAAGTATTAAAGTTATGTAAATACCCAGAAAATTACTTAAAAACTTCAGAAATATACCATTTCCCAACAGGTAACAATGAAATGCTTTGCAGTGACATACTCTTCTGCATAATATGTGGAAGCATGTGCAATGTTTTCTAGTGTTTCTGTACATTAAGTTCAGTAATGTGCTACATCATTTTCATGGAACAGCTTCAAAATAAACAACTTTTATTGTGTGAAATTCATACCTCATACACATTATTTGTTTATACAATGAAGGATACTCTAAGTAAGCTGCATTCTATTTAAGGTATTCATTATATACACGGAGAGCATGGATTTACACATGGTTAGCTTACTTTACAATTGTTTACAATGAAAAAAATTAAAACATTTAAATTTTCATTTAATTATTCTTTTTGTCTTGCATAATTGTTTAGTAAAATCAAATACACGTAGTTATAGCAGAATTAATTTCATGTTTCATGAATGCATACATTTACTTCCTGCTTTGGCTTCTATTTTCTATATGTATATATCACGCAGTAAACTAAGGAATAGCTGTTCTCAGCTTAGTTATGCAAAGTTAATGCACAGATACTTAGAGTATATTTCCTTTCTTAAATGGATATAGAATGACTAAGTGAGTTTCTAAAAGATAAGGCTACCTCTTTCATGAAAGGCAAACTAGTTACTACTCCCTGGTTAAAGTCTATACTGTTTAGTCTATAGTAAACTTTATACTGTATAAACTTTATACTGTAAAGTCTATACTATTTAGTTATTTATTTATGCTAGGAAGGACCCAATGTTCATGAAGATGGGAGGGAAATTTTAATATTTTTGAGGAAATTGGAAATCGGGGGGGGGGGGGGGGTTTCACAACTGAACAAAACCCCATAACAAACCTTTAACATTTTTGCTTGAAATGAGGGAGCTATTTCAAACATTTTTGTTTAAAAAAAAAAAAAAAAGGAAATTAAAATAGTTCTTTCTTTTGTGGAATAAATTTATTTTTAATTCTTTTTTGCATTGTTGTCCTAAATACTCTACTATTTGGCAACCAATTCTACTAATTATTTTCATTCTATTGCCTTTCCCACCTCCTTTTACCACCCGCCAATTATTCTGTAAAACTGACTTGACACTATCCTTTCACTTTTACATGGGCCCCTTGTTATGATTCCTACTGGATGTTTCTACAAATCTTGTCACAACAGGTCCTTATCCTGATTGTAACCTTATTTGAACTGCTACAGTTCAAATAAAGAACACAGAGATAAAGTACGACAAAATGTTAGGTCTCCATTTACTATGATCATCAATTTTCGCCACTATGGAAGCTTGTGAAAGATTTTGTCTGAGGTGAGTAATGCAAGGCTTTTGAAGTTTAACAAATCAGTGTAGGTTATACTGAAACAGTTAGTGCTGTTTCATTTCAGTTCAGCATATTCAGACTGCTAAATTTGGGTTCAGTCCTGCATTCTTCAGTAAAAAATGGTTGCTGGATTGTGGGGGCTGATCTGACTGTCAGTGAAGTCATTTGCATCAGTTTCAATGGGAACTGGTTCAGAGTGAAGCACAAAGAATGCAGACTGATGCCATAAAGAACCACAGTGTTAATTTAGGAGCATTCTGGTGTGGCTGATATTGACAAAGAAAGCTCCATTTTCCAGCTTTTCATTAGAGTTTTAATAATTCTTGACTGTTTACAAAAAATTGGAAATGTTACTTCCAATTAGTTGACATAACAGGAGAGCTGTTCTTTGGAAAAATATATATATTCAGTAATGACCTGTCCAGTAATATTAACCAGTCAGATAATTAAAACTTTTTTTCTATACAAGAATAGTACAAATAAGAATAATAGAAATGTTTTGCTTTAAAAATATTTCTAATGAAGCAGCAAACAGTTTACATTCACTACATTACAAATTATACAGGCACAAGAAACATTGTAGAAAACATTCAACATTTGTCTTGATGCTTAGTTTCCCATATATGCATTTTAAAGTTATAGAGCACACACTAGCCTACTGAAATTATCCATACCTATTTTTATATTCATATGCTATTCCCCCCAAATGATCTGAATCAGTATGGACAATGAGTCTGGCAACTCTTGCCATCAAGATTTTTAGTTTGTTAGCTCAGCCTTGGTAGCCAGGTCCCTGTCGATACAGGCTTGGTGACTGACAATGCAACCTCATCAACTTACACTAACAAGTGTTACATGGTTTTGGCAAGGCCTTTCAGCATCATGAAGAAACAGGGTTGAGGAGAACCTTTTCTCTTGGCCTTGCAGTGAGAAAAGAATGGTTAGATCCAGATATTGTTAATGTAAATGGACAGATTGTTTTATCTGATGTTAAAAAAACAAAACAAAACAGAAGCTCAAATGCTGAACATTTTCAACCAATTTTCCACTTTATGCTTTTTTTCAGTGTTTCTGACAAATCTTCCTTTTTCCATGGCAAAGTTGTCTTTGGGATTATTTACAATTCTTATATATAGTATATTTGGGAAGGAGGTCACATTAGATGAGAGATGAATCATTGCTGAAACTACACAAAACCCTCTAACTCAGAAATCACATATGCCTCTGCTGCTGTAGTTTCAAGTATATGAAAAAGAACCTTAACAAAATAAGGAGTCTGGTAATTATGGCAAAAAACCTTTTTGACATAACATTCACTTTGAATAATTTAAGTGATCACTGTAAAACACAAGGAAATAAGCTAATGGGCCAAATTCATCCCTGGGACAGTTTAATTGGAATTTAGCCCAATCAGTGCAGATTTATAATACAATGAAGCATAAGAATACAAAGTCCAAGCTGGGAGAAAGTACAGTATGAAACATGAGAGAGATAAAGTCTGATCACGCAATAAATAGAAATAAATACAATGCATGGAAATTTCAAGCATTCCATTGCTTAAACGTGAATCTGCTAGCTGAAGGGAAATGGAAATAGAAAATATCAGTTAAACATGGTAACAGAATGTATTTGGGACATAACAGGAGCTGATAAAATGATTCCTGCATTTAGGGCTACAACTGTCCTTGATTCACAGCTAGAAACCCCATTAATATCAGCATGGGTTCCCCACACCAATAAAAGACAGTACAGAGACAGAATAGTAGTTTGTAAAGTGGGTTGCTTTTGTCATTCTCAGGATAAAAAATCCTTTATAAATGTATATCTTTTAAAATTATAGGCATATGAAGAGTATACGGCATGTTTACGAATAGTTTTTTACTAAGCTCTAAGGTGTTTGTCATCTTAGGTATGGAGGATAACTAACGTTTTTATTGAGGGTAAATTATACAGGCCTGATCCACTGCAATCCAGGAAAGTAATTCTAAATGTCTGTGAAACCAAGTCCTATTCCTTCCTCCCCACTACAGGCAAAGAACTGAATTGTCACAGTAGATTGTGGAGCAACAGCTTTCTCTAAAAAACTGGAGGGGAGAAAATGGCTATGTAGCTAGAAGATCTTTATAATGGGTATATTCTGGCCATTACTCCTTCCCTGTTAAACAGGAGCAGCAGCTGTTATAGCCTGTGGTCCATGGTATTGATACAGAGAGTGCAAATGTACTGCAAATTGGCAGGTGGAAAATGGAAAATTTGTTTTTCCCTCATCTCCCACTGACAGCCAGGTAAGGCAACATTGGTGCAGAAGCTGAAACTGCCTAAGGAGAGCAGGGTAAGCCCTCTACAAAGCAGTTCAGTCCAAATGACTTTATTTATTTCTTCAAATATAAGATTCAGTTTTTACAACAAAATACTATCTTCTAAAAAGGTTTGTGTCTAATATTTGACTAAAAATAGTAAAAGCTCTTCTATGCACCACGGAGGTTGTCTCCCTATTAACATTTCCTTATCTGATGTTTTATTTTTTATTACATTCAGCATCAGAAAATGTGGGTGCATCTTAAATTCAAGGGAAGCTTATATTTGAAGGAATACAGTAAATAGGGTTCTAAGGACAAAAGCATCATAAAAAGCATTAACCGGAAACACCTGCTCCTGCCAAGTATATAGTTTGATTCTCTGTATGTGCCAGTTTCCTTGCTCATAGCTGCTATCAAGTGGATCTTGCTGGTGGTTGCAGTGTTAGATTGAGTGCATACTATCATTGCTCCTGTGGTGTGTTTGCTAGCAGTAGAGTTTGGCACCTGCAAAAGGGATCCTTCATTTGGGTCTTTGAAGTTATTGCTGATCTCACCCTCCATCAAGTCAGGAGTGTCTCTCTCTATTTTCCTATGGGGTTTTCAAGTTTGGGGATACAATGCATCAGGAGTGAATTTAATATGCAAAGATCAAGGGTATCTCCTCCATCTGGGAACTGCAATTATGGGTTCATAACCCTATTTGATTAATTAGGGGAGAGCTCTTGGACTTGTAGAGAGAGGCTCATAAATGGGGGTGGGGGGGAGGGTGGTTGCTGTGGCTCCAGACTATGGAGATGTTGGCCAAGCAAGCAGTGATGCTAAAGGGTAACTCAAAGCGGTGCTCAGAAAAAAGACCCACAAGGCCCCAGAAAGAATACCCCAAAGGCAAGAGTCCCTTCTTTGACTCTGCTAGCTCAGGGCCTCAATGCAGGGTGGGCCCAGGGTGGGCCCAGGGTGGGCTGAAAGCTGTGAATGACAGACAGGAATGGGTCTTTGCCCTGGTAATAGTATATTGCAGCTGTTCATAACACCAGTGTCAGGAGAAAGTTTGCCCATTAGTGTCAATTGGATGGCTTTGCAGGGAGCCCTGGAACTGCAAATAATGGTTCTGCCTCTGACTCCAGGCTTTAAAACAGTTAGTTCCTCCATCTCCCAATTAGGGTCCCTGAAGGCTGTGCATCTTGCTTAACACTTGTTAAATGACTGATTTTGATCTTATTTCATCCATAGTGGGTTTTTTTCCAGCACATGCTAATATGTTAGTATATGGAGGACTACAACTAATCACGTTTAACAGCTAAAAACAATTTTTTCTTCTGATCCGCTAATAAGGATCCTGACTAGCATTGTTCAGAAGGATCTTTCTTTTCCAGCACTTCTGGTTATTTAGTAAAACATTCCAGGTGCAACCCTTCCCTTTCCTAGTGTACATGCTGTGAGATGGGCAGGCTTAGAACCCTGAGCAGTATTTTCCTCTGCTTATTAGGAACTCACAAACTCTCTTAAAAGTATAGGATTGGTCCTGAAGAAAACTGTATTATCGTTTTTCTGTTGTAACACCATTCTTTCCCTTCTGGTTATTACTGGTTAAGTTTCTTGTTTTCCATCAGGAGGCAGCAGCCTATCAAGTGGGAAAACCCTCTCATAGGTATCTTCAAGTACGGTGAACAGGAAAAATCTTCTTCAGCCACTCCTTAGTTAATTAAAAAAAACCCCAAACTCTGCAGCCTGTGAGGCAGTTACTTCTATGGAACTCATGTCCCACTTGGGAACATGGATTGGCTTTATAGGAAGAGAGCTGTAGATTTCAAAGGAGAAAGGGAAATAACTTTGCACCTTAAATAAATGTAAGAATTTACATTGCATGTTTATGGTTCAAGCCTCTAGAGCATGCTAACCTGTTACTGGGAGTGATGGATACTCTCTGTTAGGACAGGACATAATTTTTGGTTTATGTTTGTGCCTATGTGGCACATATGTCAAGATCTGATACTCCTGCATTAATTTACTGAGCGTGAACGCAATGAAACTACTTTGGATACTGCTTAAAATACAATGGCCTAATATTTCCCCTTGATTTTTATTGGACATTTCATGTATGCATTTGAGAGCAGTTCTAGCCTAAATATCTGCCATTAAATGCATAGTTATGATTGCTTTACTGCCTTTGTTTAACATGTATTCATTTTTCTAATTCTGAGTATATCTTACTGTTAAATTTAATTATGTTTAAATAATGGTCCATGTTATCAAATACTCTTACAATGCTTACTATTAATCCTCATGAGAATCCAGAAAGGTAGGCATTTTACAGCTGGGAAAACTGAGGCACTGCATATCTAAGAGGTGTGTAAAATCAAGTTGCAAATGAATTATAAGGCTAAAATAAAAGCCAGGACTCCTGACCCCTTATACTGTTTCCTTAGCATTAAAGTAGATCAAGTTCCCCATGTTTGCTTCCACCCCAGAGTCATTTATGTCAACTATGAAAATCATGTAGTTTCCAGAGTAAAATAATCCTGTAATAATATTTCTGTATGTTGGATCTGCATAGAACCAACATTGAACAGCTCAGCTGTTGGATTATCCCTGACCTCTAATAAGCAGAATCAAGTTAAATATATCTTCTCTAACTGGAGAAATGCTGCATTTCTGATAGTTCTCTGGCATTATATATTTGTTTACAATATTCATCTAACTTTATCAGGGATTTTTTGAAAGTTTTTGTCTTTTGGCAAATTTTTTTATAAACAGATTATTTGCTTGTGAGAACAAATGCTACTACATTCAAACTGGCCAGTATTTTCTAGAGGGTTGAGCTCAAAACTGTGATAAGACAATATCGGGAAAAAAACATTGGTGTAAGTTTTCTTGAATGGCTGCTACTGTTCTCATGTGTAGGCTAGTGTAGATTTATTGCCTGGAATTATTTTCTTTTGGATGAGGTAGGTTTTGTTCTTCATTAATCTGGTGTAAATCTAGGTCAGTGGTGCCAAATTTACCCCACCCCATGGGCCAATTCAGGACCTGGTGGTGGTGAGACCAGAAGCAGTGAGATGAGTAGGAGTGGCAGCAACAACAGGGTAAACATGGGTGGTGGGGGTGTCTCACTATTGGCACAGCTGTTGCTCACTCTCCTGCTGATGAAAGGCATCCTCAGGAGGGCCCAGTAGCAGACTGTGCCCTGCACCCGGCTCACCCCCAGCTTGCCCTGCCCCTTAATTCCTCAGCTCACCAGAAGCACTGAGGGCTAGAGTCAACAGTGCCTCAAGCTGGATCCAAGATTTAGGATGCGTGTTTGATGTCCCTGATTTAGGTTAATTCCATTGAAGTCAAGGGGTGTTTTATAGAGATCAAATTCTGCTTACACCAATATTCCTTGTGTATAAATGCAACGTAACTTCGTAGAGGACAGGAATAAAATTTGGTCTTAGATTTTTATCGCTGCATTTGAGAGCAGATTTATTAAACATGTAATAAGCAAAAACTATTAAACTTTTCAGAATTAGAGCTATGATACCCTGGAAATTTGAGACTTTGTAAGAAGATATAATTAATTAATCATCATTTGGCTGAGTGTTCTCTGAAAATAGTTTTGGTTGATCCTGGAAGCTTGTTGATGACATTTATATTACCGGTTGTATATAAATTACAGCCAGGCATATCCTGATCCTCTTACTTGCATGAAGTAGCATCCTACCCCATTAACAATCCTGTTTTAGTCAGAAAGGAACAGCAATAGAGTAAGGTCAGAACAAGACTGGTTTGCATACAGACTACTGCCTTAAAAGTATCCCATCTGAATAAAAATGTGTGGGTATACAAACTAACATTTCCTTGCATGGAATATAATTAATAGGAATATAGATTTAGACATTATTTTATATTTAATAAATAAAGCTATATTTGATATATTATAGCAAAATTTGCCATATTTTAAATGAATTATAATAGCAAAAAATACTTAGCCCGCTCCTGTAGTCCTTCAATATCTATGAAGAAGGAATGGGTCAGGTATATCTGTAGCAGATATGTATTTGAATAACTGGATGAATAATAATGATACATGATATTTGTGGTACTAGGAAAAAATACATGTTAACTTTTTCTCACATATCCAATATCATGTGAAAAAACTCAAACATTCTGTGCAATTCTATTAACTCCTTGTATAAGATTTCAAATATTTAGATTAGAATCCCATGTGTATGTAGAAAGAGAATTCTACAGGCTTCTTTTAATTTATAAATGGTCATTCTTTCAGCTGAGTTGTGAGATGTTTCCAGGAGCGGTATGTAACTTTTTTTCAAAGTTCTGAGTAAAAAGGCAGAATGGTAAAAGATACTCTGACATGTCTATCCACCCTTATGTTGTTTTCAGTAAAAAAAAACCCAAACAGTTCTCTGCAATATAAAATAAAAGTCCACTGCTATATCTTCATAAGATGATTTGTATTAGATGATTTAATTTTTAACAATGTGCAGGTAGCTGTGATGGGCAGGACTGTCAGTGAATTTTGTCACTTGCAACTTCATACGTGAAGTGGTTTTAAAAACACCTACTGCGAACAGCGTCACTCAGTATTAAAGGACATAACAGGCTTTTTGGCAGATAAGCTTATGTTTTCTGATGGTTGATAGGAGAGGGAGCTCATTTTTGTTGTTAGACTTGGATGTGCTCTGACATTTGGTGGAATGTATTTTAGTAGTTGCAGAAAGTATTTCTTAAAATTTTTTCCAAAGAAAACATAAAAAAAGGGATTCATACAGTTGTTAAAGTAAGCAATGCAGATGGTAAAAGGCATAGCTGTATCCACAATATCGAGGATGTTGCACTCTGTGATTACACGCAACTGAATTAACACATCCAGGAAGGTAAACACTTGGTGAGGAATCCAGGAAAAGAAGAAGAAGCATACTATTGCCACAATCATCTTAAAAATGTCATCGTTTCTGGTCTTGTTTCTCTGAATTTGGTAAGCTTTCTTCAGGGTCTTCCAAATTAAGGTATAGCTTGTTAAAATGATTAGGAAGGGAATAAAAAAGCCCAACACATTTTTGGATAAACCTAAGCCAACAGGGAGTGTTATATTATGGGTCTCATATCGAAAAACACACATGGTCATATTTATGTTCTCAGCAAAAATTATATTACGATGAATTATGACAGGCAAACTGGCCATTCCTGCGAGCAGCCAGATGACGATGCAAGTTATTCTGGCAACAAGCATGGTGCGCCGAATATGTGACTTCACTGGATGTACAATCACCAGGTAACGGTCAATGCTAAGACATGTGAGTAGAAACACACTGGCATACAGGTTAAAACTTACTGCAGCTGATGCTATCTTACATAAACAGTTGCCAAAAGGCCAGTGGTATTCCATGGCTGTGTTGGCTGCCCACAGTGGCAGTGTCATTAAGAAACACAAGTCAGCCAGAGCTAAATTCAGCAGAAATATGCTGGCTACAGTTTTTAATTTCATGTAGCAATAAATGACAATGACCACCAAGCTGTTTCCAAATATGCCTACAATAAAGATGATGCTGTAGACAGTTGGAACCATAATATATATGTAGGGATGCCTTCCTGAAACGGGACAGTCAACGTGGATTCTTTTAACAGTCTCATCAGCAGAGGAATTTAGGATCATTTTGATCTTTTCAGTTGTATGCTAGTTTCAGGAAAATAAAATTCACCTGGGAGGAAAAAAGGGATAAACAGTTAGTAATGAATGAATTAAACTTTAAAATGTTGTGCATGGTGACAACTATGAGTTCAGTTCAGTGAAGGAAATTTTAACTTCAATCCAGAAGAAAGCAGGAAGCAAGAAATTTATCAGTCCTTTATTCAGTGAACATCACCAGTAAATAGGGACCTACTCAAATTGAGGAGGCAGGTGGCTGATTTCATGGGCAGATGCGGGGCTGGTTGCCCTTAATTTTCGCAGGCTTATTGCGGTGGGATCCTTCAATGCTTCTAATTGGCCAAGAGGTCCCAGTGGCTGTGCCCTTTGCCACTAATTGGCTGAGGGCGCTCCATCATGTGGCCCCTGATCACTGGCTGCTGATTGGAGAGGGGCAGGGCTGCATGACTGAAAGTCCTCTTAGCCAATCAGTGGTAAGGGGTGGCAGCCATCTTGGCTGCTTCTCTTTGTGCTGGCAGCCTGCCTCCTTCCTCGATCATGGGCTGCATGGCAGGGTCACAGCGGCCATGAGGACTGCTGGGTCCCACTGGGGAGCCAGGATTTTATTTATTTATTTATTTTTTGTGGATTTCGCAGACACTGCCTCATTTCATGGACAATGCCTGATTTTGCAATGTCTGCAAAATTGTGAATCGAGTAGGTCCTACCAATTGATTAAGTCTGAGTTATACTTGAGTTTATACTAAGGTATACAATATACTGAGATATATAAGGCTAATGCTTAATGAATTCTTATACAGGCAAAAAACTCCCACCCATCCCCATTCTTTGATTTGGGCTGAGTTAAAAGTTCAAATAATGCACTCAGGGCTTGATCCAAATCCCACTGAAGTCAGCAGGAGCTTTTTCATTGACTTCAGTGGTTGCTGGACTGGGCTGCAATTTACTGTGCACGGTCCAACAGCAAAGCTGCAGCTAAAGCACAAACACAGCTCAAAGGAATCTCATCACAGAGCCACTAAAGGTGTAAGGCCATATTAAAACAAAGAACAAACATAATGCCCAGTATATGATGCAGTAATATCAGGGCTGCTCAGGAGGGCAAAAACCACTCTCCTGTCATTCTCACAGACTGGTAGCCAGCTGCTACTCCAAGCATACCAGTAAGCACCATTTATGTACCATGCTGTATGTAAACATCAGGAGTATGAGACTTATGGAACTCCAGTAGAAACTTATGTATACAAAAGCAATGGGAAAAGAATGAGCGAACATGGTTCACATTTCCCTGTGGTACCTTAATGAAAGGAAACTGGAATGGAATAAATGCATCCTCAGTTTCCATGACCTTATCTTATCAATGTTGTTGCAACAAAAACTAAGTATAGCTTATTTCCTTGGTTCCAAAAGTCCTTGTTTTCTGATCCCATTAAACCATGAGAAAAAAACTAGTTTTTAACACCTAAATCAACTAGTCTGAAATGAAGTGAGAGTGCTGTATCTGCCCCTGACGTAAGTTTGGCTTCTCATTTGCAAACATATATACATGGATTTTTGTTGAAGGGATGACATTGCAGGCTTCAGAGCATTACCAGCCTTTGAAACCACACAGAAAAAAACAAGAGTCAGATCTTCAGCTTATGCATATTTTACAGGCATGGGCAGCACTTCCTGTCCCCAGGGCTAGAAATGGGCATTACACATAAACTGGTGTAAGTGATCAGAAACTGGTTTAAATCTGGAATGGAACAGATGTTCCGTGCACATAAACCAGTTTGAAAATGACTAAAGCTGTTTGAGAAAAACCTGTTGAATGTAGTATCAGACTTAACTGATTTGGGTTAAACCAGTTTATGCAATGTCTGTCCCAGACCCCTTACTAGTTTAAGTTAAATCAGAATCCCTCAGTATCCCGGCATGCTCTCTGGGCTGGGCAGGGCTGTCTGCAGGGCTGGCCTCTCCCCTCTGCTCCCTGGCTGGAGCTGAGCACAGACTTGCAGACACAGAGCCTCTGCCTGGCTTCTCCTTGCTAAGCAGGGATTATTGCCCCTCCCCTCTGCTTAATGATGAGGTGTCTGCATAAACTAGCAGACCACACAGTCCTTGATGTGGGAAAGGACAGGCAGACAGGCTTTTTGGAGCTAATCAACAGGTATCTTAATGTCCTTCCTTGGAAGAGCTGTTTAAGAGGAGTTCCATTAATTAATGGAGAGAGGCTTTGTTTTCTTAATGAGTTGATAAATGCTGAGTTAAGAATAATAAACATTCCCTGAAGGGGAAGCTGGAGGGGTGGTGGAGCTGGAGGGGAGGTGGAATAATCAGAGCATCCTGAGCCTGGCCAGGCCCTCCTCAGCTCTGCCCTGTGGAAGCAAAGGGAGGGCTGCTGTAGCACCTCCTGGCTTCTAGCCTGAGCCACTGCAGGCATGTGCCTGCATTTCTGGGATGTCTGTCTGGGTTACAAATTGATTTAGCCTACCCAGGTTAGAGTAACCTGCAAAGATTGAATCAATTGAGGTTCAGGCATTTTGAATGTATGTCCCTAGCCAAAGACTTTAAAATTTAAGTAGAAATGCAGATTCATTTATTTATAAGGAATTAAGTTGCAGAGCTTGTCTGCAGTGCCTCTCTGCCTACCTGGCATCTGCCAGCAAGAAATGTGCTTCACCCACTCCACCAAATCCCAGAATGAGGCCAAGGAGCTGCTTTAGCTTGGCCTTGAGTACATGCCAGGAATCTTGCAAACAGTAGCATAACTTGGGGAGGTGAGGAAAGGGAAGCAGTACACCCACCCAGGTGCTAAGACAGGGTACCAGTCTGCCCTCTCCTCCAAGAGTCTGTCATGGCAGGTGCAACTCTGTTGTGCCCAGCCACAGGAGCTGGGCAGATGCAGACCCATCAGTGCATCTGGGGGTAAAGGGTAGAATGGTGCCCCCTCCCCAGGAAACTTTTCCATGGGAGACATAGCACGGTGCTCAGAGAAGCGGGGAGAATGTTTCTCAGTGACAGCAGCCCCAGACTGTGCTACTATAGGAGCATCTGCATGGTAGCAGCTGTTGCCTGAGGAGAGCCCCATCAGGTAAGACTCCACTCCCTCTGCCACTCCCAAGCTTTCCCTGGCTCTCCAGTGGTCAGTATAATCCCCTCTCAGTAACCCCCCTGCCTCACCTTTCCATGTCCTGGGTGCCAAAAGAGATTGCTATGGTTTTGCTTCCAAGACAGAGGGTTGGAGAGCCACCCTGGAGTTAAGTCAGGGTCACTATAAGTCAGGTGCTCTCCTGGGATTTAGCACTGCTTTTGGAGTTGGTTGTATTAGGTGCAGCTTGGAGGCAGCATAGACAAACCTAAATGACCTGTCCAAGGTCACATAGGAAGTCTGTGACAGAGCCAGGATTTAAATCCAGATTGTCTGAGCCCTAGATGATTCTCTTAACTGCAAGGACACTTTATTAGTTTGCTCTGTTTTAAACATGATCTGAAGGTAGGTAGTTGGTTATCACAACTGATTTCTCTGTTTTAACTATAGAACAGACTTCAGATATATATTTTTCCATTTCTAACTGTCTATGAATATATCCCTTATCCTTCTGATATACCCCCTTGTTCTAGGAATAATTCTGGCGTTAATAAGCTGATTAATTTCTATAAAGATAAAAGGGCAGTTTCAAGATTAGCTTCTTGGGAATTATACCAAGACTGGAATATCTAATTAAATGTAAGAAGACACAAAACTTTTGTCAAGAACTACAATTTAATTCCTCCCAATCTCTGCAACTCTTTCTGTAAATTACAGTCTAGGTACCTCAGTTGTTACAGATGCCTCAAAAAACCCCAGTTATTTTTACCATCTTTTTAAAGTAAAAAAAGTCATGCCAACACAGCTGGCACAAATAAATACACCATATTCTGCTTATAAGTGGCATTTTAATATAGTAACCACCCAGGGTTCAGTTTTCTTGGCTTTCTATCCCAGACCAATAACGAGTCTGGTAAGTCTGGTTTTGTGGCAGGTCATGTTATCTGGAGAGTAGGTACGTCCATTATAAAGAGGCCAAGGGGAGATGAAACATTCCCCTGAGCACATTGTAGAGCTGTTCAAGAGGAACTGAACTGCTATAAATGTGTTCACGTGCTCTGCAAGTTCATGGTTTGTCCTTATATATCTTGTGTTCTAGCACTGTGCTGGGATAATGCATTCTGTGGGTTGTTATACTCTTAATTTATTTATAGTCACTAAGAACTTAAGTCCATAAAAAATCATTAAGGTCATCTAGTCAGTGTTCCTGCAGAGTAGGAAAAAGCCTGATTCAGCCACTGTTGTCCTTATCAGGCCCTTAGTCCAGGATTAGATCCGTTGATTTTCTTCAGTGATATTCACAGATGAAGGTTCAACTCTGTGGGTGCATCTACACATGCAATTAATGTGAAGCAATAAACTCTGGAGCAGTTTGAGATGGAGTCAACTGTTCCCATGATCAGCATTTACGTGTGCGCCCAGGACAGCAGCAATTTGACCCAGAGAAGAATAGGCCCCTGGCTGGCTGGGCTGACTAGGTGCAGTTTACATCCGCAATCAACTATCTACATGTGTGTTTCAGCACAGTAAATTACTCTGCTGTAAAATAGTACTGTCCCAGACAGTACTATTTTACGGCAGAGTTACTTTCCTGCACCCTAATATCAGTGCATATGTAGACTTTGACACTTTATTTTGCAGCTAATTAAGTTACTCCACTGTAAAGTGTATATGTATGTGTACCCTATGTGTGTAAAAATGGCAGTATCAGGACATATGATATGTGCTGAAAAAAAACAGTGGTTCTGAAGCAGAGGCAACTCTTTTGGGTCTAACACAGCATTTAGAAGATGCCCCTCTACTGCAGGGCTGGAACACTTCTTTATCAAAAAAGGGAACTGCCTTTATGGTTGCATAGATCAAGAATCTTGAGGTACTTCCAATAGCCAGAAGGTATGCCAGTCTCTCTCAACAGGAGAGCCCCACCTTTTGGGATTCATTTTTGATGGTCATGACAAAAGGCAAAGAAGTAGTCAGCT